GAGTAGCTGTGTCCACAGGTGCGTACCACCATGCCCGGCTAATTTTTGTATTATTAGTAGAGATGGGGTTTCAACATGTTGGCCAGGATGGGCTCAATGTCTTGACCTCACAATCTACCCACCTCGGCCTCCCAAAGTGCTGGGATCACAGGGGTGTGAGCCACCATGCCTGGCCTATAAGGTAATTTTAAAAGTAGATATCATAAAAGAAAACTCTGTGGTCACGTTCATATACCCTAAGATCTAGCTATGTACAACTTTTATTAGCAGAATTAACAGGGGAGAGTAATGTTTCTGTATCACCCTGAAATGGAGACCTCTGCATTTCTGCTCAGGCACCCAAGAGAATGTGCTCTGGACTTTCTGCTGGAGAGGCTGAAAGTGATGATTACCTAATGTGCAAAGTAGGACTTAAAAAAAAAAACGAATTGGAAACAACCCTGGATATCTTATACTCCCTCATTTCAATTACAATTGGCTTTATTGACAGTTCAGAGGGTCTGCAGCTAGAAGGCATGAGGGTTGGGGGCTGCTCCTGCAGGCCCAGATGGAGGCTGTGCAGATGGCAACTATCTCACGGCGCAGAGGACGGTGATGTCTAAGAGCCCTCTTGCTGCCTGCCTCGATGCCTGGGAACCTTCTGAATGAGGAGGGAAACCACACGTTCCCTGTGGCATCGTATACCTTTCAGACTTGTGGTTTTAGTCGTTCTCTGCTGTGCTGAGCTTTGTGTTTTAAAGCCACTGCTGGAGGAAATCAGCTCAGCTGCTACTCCAGAGGGAAAGCCAGACAGAAGGTCACTACTTTCCTCACTGTCCACGACAGCCCTGTTCTCCATAAAAATGTGTTCTTCTACAGCAGACATACCCAAGCTTGGCTTTCAGCGATGCTCTGAGTCTGCCTTATTTGTCACCACATCCCAAGTACCAACCACAAGCACAGTACCAAGTCTACAGTTAACACTCAAGACATATGTGTGTGTGGATGGACGCTCCGTGCTGAGTATATGTTAGTTGCACAACCATCAAGAAGGTACAGTGGGTGTGGCAGGTATCTGAGAGCAAAGAGAGCTGGCATTGGGTTATGTCCATTTATCCCACAGGGAAGCAGATTTGCCCCAAGACAAGGTATAGAAGGAGGAGATGAGGGCCCCAGAACCAAGCATGCTCTCCACTCCCACAGGTCTTCCTCCCTCATCCGCGAGCCAGAGGCCCAAGGATGGATCTCCTTTCCTGTCATTCATTTGAGAGTGTATAATCTCACGTGTCTAAAGGGGGCAACAGAACGTTCCCTCCCTACTCGAGGGGCCATTGGGGGTGGGGGGATGTATGACGAGAACAAGGTGCTGCACAGATGCTGGCCTTTCCTCTGATTGCAGAACCAAGCCCTCCCGAGAACTAGTGCCCAAGAACTGCCCGGCATCCTTAGGAAACTGTATTGGGAAGGGCCAGGCAGCTAATTGCTCAGCTATCAGTGAAGGCCGTCATTTCCCAGTGTGCTCAGCCTCCTGGACAGTGAGAACAGGCCCGCCCAAAGAGGCACAAACTGAAGCGAGTTTCAGCGTCAGCTGCTACCTTCTCCACAGTGGGTCTGCCTGGCCCGGGACGTCAGGGAAGACACCAGTGCCCTCTTTCCTTTGTAGATGAATACGTATGCTTGGATAGAAAGCAACCTTGAATACCTAGGCTTTATTTATTTATTTATTTTTTTCCAAATGAGAAAGTTAGACAAAACCTTCTGGGGCCAACTTGAACATACACACTTTTAATAATATAGATGGAAAAGTCAACTACTACTACTGAGATACTACTAACAATTCCTTGGCTTTCTTTTTTTTAACAAATTCTGTCAAGGGATCACTTTTCCAATCTAAAAATAGCATTGATTAAGTTCCTTTGAGGGTTTTGTGTGTTCCCCAAATAGTATTTTCAGTCAAAAATAGTTATTTGAAAAAACACCCTGTCGTTGAGAACCTAAGGCCGCTTCTTTACTGAAGAGTAATTTTAGGGAGGTAGTTTATCAACAGTATCTTTAGGAAAGGTGATACTCCCTAATTACTGAAACCTGGGCCAGAGAATTTACCTTTCTGGGATATTACTGGACTATGCAAAATTGTATAAAAACTAATTTCTGAAGTTCCAGGCACAGAGATATCTCTTTCTTCATGTGCATAGTTACTTACAAAGTTTTAACCTTACTCCTGGGAAGAAAAGCTCTTTTCATTGGAAAGATATGTGCGGTGGCTCACAGCCTGTAATCCCAGCACTTTGGGAGGCCAAGGTGGGCGGATCACAAGGTCAAGAGATCGAGACCATCCTGGTCAACATGGTGAAGCCTGTCTCTCTTAAAAATACAAAAAATTAGCTGGGCATGATGGTGTGTGCCTGTAATCCCAGCTAGGCTGAGGCAGGAGAATTGCTTGAACCCAGGAGGCGGAGGTTGCGGTGAGCCGAGATCGCGCCATTGCACTCCAGCCTGGGTAACAAGAGCGAAACTCTGTCTCAAAAAAAAAAAAAAAAGATATGGATGGATGGAATAACAACTATAATTTCCATTTATTATCTTCTTCCTTTTATTAAATACTTATTATGTCAAAGTATTATACAAAAGATTTTACGTGTATTATCTCATTTATTTTTCTACAATAGTTTTTGGAGTTCTTTTCTTTCATTTTCAATCCTGTTTTGCCACTAACATATTTTAAAGCTAAAAATATGTCTCTAGGTACTGTTTTATCTGCATTCCATAAGTGTTATTTGTAGTTTATTTTTTCACAGTTGTTCAAACCTAAATATTTTGTATTTTTATTAAAACTTTCCCTTTCAGTCCACAGTAAACTTAGGAGTACGTTTGTTTCTAATTTAATAGCATTCTGCATAGAAAATATGATTTCTATGCTATAAATTATTTGAAATTTCTTGGGACTCTTTGCTAAAATGGTTGACATGTGCTTGAAAAGTATATATATATATATATATTTCTCTATATTGTTGCAGGCTTCCATATATCTATATTGGATCAGGTTTACTTAAATTATCTCGTCATACCTTACATATCCTTGCTCTTTTTTTTGTCTGTCTGATCTGTCTGGTCCTGCTAAAGCACTTTAAAAATATTACTAGTATGACTAGAGATGAATGTATGAGTTAATTTAAAAAATATGTTACACGGTGAATACGAATGAATCTAACTTCCCTTTATAATTTAGTCATGTTAAGTGCACACAAATTCACAACCATTATATATTCTTAATGAGATGCTGCTTTTATAACTTTGTAATGTCCTTAATCTTAATAGTGCTTTGGTCTTGTATCTGTCTGTTCTCACACTGCTATAAAAAACTACATGAGACTGGGTAATCTATGAAGAGGTTTAACTGACTTATAGCTACTGCAAGCTGTACAGGAAGCACGCACGGCTGGGAGGCCTCAGGAGACTTACAATCACGATGGAAGGCAAAGGAGGAGCAAGCATGTCTTACCACGGCGGAGCAGGAGAGAGAGAGTGAAGGGGAAAGTGCTACACACTTTTAAATAACCAGATCTCATGAGAACTCATTCACCCTCATGAGAACAGCAAGGGGGAAATCCACCCATAATCCAACCACCTCCCGCCAGAGCCTTCCCCCAACACTGGGAATTACATACAATTCAACACGAGATTTGGGAGGAGACGAACCATATCAGGTCTTCAATTTTATGTGGTCTGATATAAATATTGTTAGATATGCATATTAATTACATAGCGCTGCCATAACAAATTCCCATAAACTGGGTGGCTTAAACTTACAGAAATTTATTCTCTCATAGTTTTAGATGCTAGAAATCTGAAATCAAAGTGGAATCCAAGCCTGAAATTGGCAGGGCCATGCTCCCTCCAACTATTCTAGGAGAGGAGGCTTTCTTGCCTCTTCTAGCGCTTAGCAGCCCTAGCCACTCCTTGGCTTGTGGCAGCGTAACACCGGTGTCTGCCTGCCCCACCACATGGCTGGCTTCTGCGCATCTTGTGTCCTTCATCCTCTTAGAAGAACAGCCATCATACTGGCTTGAGGGTCCACCCTATTCCAACGTGACCTCATCTTAATCTTATTAAATCTGCACTGACTCTGTTTCCAAATAAGGTCACGCTGTGAGGTACTGGGGGTTAGGAATTCAACATCATCTTTTGGGGGCACACAGTTTCAACCATATCAATATATTTCACGTTTGGTTAGCACTGGACTGGCCTATCTTTTCTAACTTTTTATTTCCAATCTTTATGGTTTTGCTTCAGGTATATGTCTTATAAACTTTGTTAATTTATTTTGTCTAATCTGAGAATGTTTCATTTGAGAGGTAATCTGTTTACATTTATTATAATGACGCAGAGTTTAACTTATTTCTGCCGTATTTTCTTTTCTATTTCCTGCCCTTTTGCTTTGCTTCGGTTTTTCTCCTTTCCAGCTGTCTTAGCTCGTCACCCCGACACACACACACACACACACACACACACTCACACACACGTGCGCGCACACACACGGCAGACTGAAATAATGGCTTGTCTGCAGCTTGTTTATTTTAAGAAATGATTCAAGGAATAGGAGTGGGGCAGGGGCTGGGAAGAATGAAGAGAAAGCTGATCACTACCATGGGCAAATAGGGCTCAACGTCATTAGGACCCTGGATGCATCTTGGTCTTGTCCTGAGAGATGCTAATATTGTTTTTCAAATGCGGCTGTGCCATTTTAATTTATGTTTCTATATCACATATACGGGAGAGGTTATTGGGAGCAGAGGGTATACATCGCAGCGTCAATTTACACTACTATCTTGGTATGTCTGCTATTTAGCTTCCACATCATCCTATGACATGCTTTATCATCCCTATTTTAGAAAGGAAGAAATCGAGACTCAGAGAGGTACATTGCCTTAAGTCAGACAGCTAAAAAGCGATGGAGCCAGAACTCAAACTCTGTTTTATCTGATTCCATAGCCATTCCTTCCAGCCTTAAGCTCTACTACCTGTGTGGTGCTGGGTGTGAGTCGGAGCTAGCCTGGGTTTACCAGGGTTGCAGGGTCACCTCTCACCGCACCCTCATCGGTCCTCAAATAGGGGTGCAACTCTTCCACAAAGGGCAGTGAAGAGACTGAGCTACTGGACACCAAGCTGTGTGGGATTGAACCCATTCCTGTCCAAACAGGAGTTTCCCAGAGGGACTCTGAAAATTATAGAAGCCAAGAGATTTCATCATCTTTATTCAAAGAAAGGGTTTTTTTTTGTTTGTTTGTTTGTTTTGGATTTTTTTGTGGGGGGGACCACATCTCTACTCCCGGAAGAGTAAGGATTACAAAGTAAATCAGGTAATTATGGACTAAGTGGCCACTGCGATTGAGAAATGAACCATGTCTGTTTCTCCTCTGTAGCTCACTGGAAAAGAATGTGAGTGATTTCCCTCTTTTTCTCCAGAGGCCTTGGTGTCTTTAAGGCTGGGCTTCTCTCGACCTGGGGGGAAGTTTAAGGACTTTCTTTGATTTTCTAAGGGCCTGTAGACCTAACACTTATGGTTAGAGATTGCAAGGCCTGAGGAGGGGCCCCCAGGGCTGGAGGGCATTCAAAGACTGGCAGGACTCTTGGGTGTCCGGCCTCTTACCCAGCTCCCTGAGGTGCCAAGGACTCTGGAGAGTGGCTGGTGGGGGAGGTGTGCTTCTGAGGACTGAACACTCGCACTGTGGCCTTGAATTTGAAGAGGATGCTGTGAACAGCGGCCTTTTACTGGTCCGCCTGACCCTGGACAATGAGCCACTGGGCAGTGACCATCACAGACCTGATCCCCCTCCCCAAGTTTCCAGGATCCTGAGGCCTCTGAGATCTGCACGGAAGGAGAGGACCGGCCTTTAAAAGAGGCCGGGATTGAATTTCCTGAGGTGCTGGTACATGTGGGGTCTAAGAATGATTTAATTTTATTTAGAAATTCGAGAAATGTGTCATTTCTTGCCCCAAGCATTATGGAACAGCTAATACCGGTTACACTAGTGATGACCAAATTCTGTCATAAATTCTTCTAACATATTGTGTAAAACAGGCCTCACCACTTTTTTAATCTCTTGGAAATGGCTGATGGATAACTGACACAATATAATATTCCAAGCCCTTCTTTTGGTTAAAACGAAAAAGTTTCCTCCAGCCTGGTAATGTAAATTCCAAATCACCTCCAGACGATGCTATTTAAATGCCTTGCAATTAAATCTGCACCAAGTGGAGTTTCTGTGGGAAATTTTGCTGCCTCCCGGGGCATCCTGCAGTGTTTTTTAAAGGCCAGGGATCCAGAAATGCAACTCAGGGCCTCAGAATCTTCGTCTGCATGACTCAGCCTTGGGGCTCGGGGCCCTGGACACTTGCCCAGAGCTGAACATTCAACTGGAAGCACCACAGGAGGAGCGTGCGGGGAGCCGGGAAATATCTCTGGAATCTCACAATCCTTTCTCGCCTACCCTTATTAGACCAAAGAGGCAGAGCCGCAGGGGTGGCGGCCACGGGGCAGAGGGCAGCAGCTGTGGGGTGGGAGGGAACCTGTGTGTGTGTGCACACACTATTCACACGTCATTGTGTCTGTGTCTATGCAGGTCTACGTGTGTCTGCATATCTGTGTGTCTGTGTCTGGGTGTTTCTGTGTGTGCATCTCTGCAGATCTTTGTGTGTCTTTGCATAGCTGTACATGTTTCTGTGTATGCGGGTTGGGTCTCTGTGTGTCTGTATGTTTCTGTTTGTATTTCTATGTGTGTGTTTGTCTCTATGTGGCTGTGCCTCTCCATGTCAGCATGTCTGTGTCTTTGCATATCTGTACATATTTCAGGGTTGAGGGTCTGTATCTCTATGTTTCTGTGTGCCTATGTGTGTGTCTCTAAGCCTATGTGGGTCAATGTGTCCGTCTGTGGTCGGAAGAGGGGGCAGGAATGCTTTTGGAGTCCTGGTTTTCTCAGAGTAGGAGGTTCACAGCAGGGGTGGGCCAACCCTTCAGTCCAGAAGCCCCCTCTGGCTCTGGGACCTGCAGACCACCTGCAGCCCCACCCAGTGCCACCCCTGCCCCTTGTGGCTGTGGCCTGAGTGGCAGGCAGGAAAGAGAGTGAGGGCTGGGCGTGAACTTAGGTTAGGTTGGGAGGCGTGGAAAAGAAAGCAGCAATGAGGGTGTGTTGGGGGAGCAGACCTGCCGCCTCCTGAGAGGCTGGGGAGGCCTAAGGCGGGGTGGGTCCCAAACCTCACTCCAAAGCTCCCAATATACAACCCAGTAGTTCCCCGTGGAAAAATTGTTAGGGTTTGCGAAGTACCCTCCTCCCACAAACCATGTCTTGGCACATGCACCCATGCGAAGGCTCACACTTCTCTCTCTCTCCTCAACTCTGCTTTGGGAAAGCCTGCTGCACCAGAGAATGTGGGACAGGGACAGCCATACCAGCTTTGGCTGGGCACTCCTCTGAACCCTTTCCACTGATCTCACTTAATGTACTTAACACTGACCTCGGCTTTGTTATTCGTCTTTTACAAATGAGGAAACTGAGGCTCAGGGAGGGGAAGCGGGTTGCTCAAGGTAACAAGCTGATCAGTGTCAGAGCTGAGTCAGAACCCAGGTGTGCTGAATTCCAGAGTCATTTTCTTTTTTTTTCCTTTCTTTTTTTTTTTTTTTTTTTTTTTTTTTGAGGAGGAGTTTCGCTCTTGTTACCCAGGCTGGAGTGCAATGGCGTGATCTCAGCTCACCACAACCTCCGCCTCCTGGGTTCAGGCAATTCTCCTGCCTCAGCCTCCTGAGTAGCTGGGATTACAGGCACACTGCCACCATGCCCAGCTAATTTTTAGTATTTTTAGTAGAGACGGGGTTTCAGCATGTTGACCAGGATGGTCTCGATCTCTTGACCTCGTGATCCACCCGCCTCGGCCTCCCAAAGTGCTGGGATTACAGGCTTGAGCCACCGCGCCCGGCCCCAGAGTCATTTTCTTACCTGACAGCCCTCTACCTCCAGATGGCCCTCTCTTTACTCTCCTTGCATTTAGAAGCATGCCCACGCGCACGCGCGCGTGCGCGCGCGCGCTGCGCGCGCACACACACACACACACACACACACACACACACACACACTCCTTAGAGCCCTTTTATAAGACACTAGTGCCTAAACAGCAAGGGTATCCACATTATGGTAGTCTCATTTACCACACACATACAAAACAACAGCAGAACTGTAGGTCTAGTGAAAGCCATTATTTCCCACGCCCTCCTCTTTCCACAGATGGAAAAAGAATCGCAAATTAGCATAATGTTAAGTGCATGAGCTTTGGAATAAGTGAACCTCGAATTAAAACTTCCATGTATTATATTAGCTCTGTGGCTGTAACACTAACCTTTGCAAGCTTCAGCTTCCTCATCTGTGAAATGGAATCATAGTAGTACGTACCTCACTGGCTGCTACATGGATGAAATGAGACCACGCCTATGGATGTAACGCCTTTGGCACCCAATAACCACTCAATAATCGGCAGCTATAATTATTCATAATAATAACGGTGGTAGCAACAAACCGAGCTCAAACATCTGAATGATCGATCACTAAAAACAAGGGGAAGTCAGTTCTATGTAGTAACAAGGATGGGACATTCATGTTGTTGACAAAAGTCTGCAGGGGTTGCCAGTACCAGAGAGACACTGGGTGGTGAGGCTGGTCTGGAAGAGAGAGGGAACAAATGTCAAGAACCCCCAACCCTGAGGTGGAAAGTTCTGCGATTGATCCGGATGAATGTCCCTAACCTCCGCCTCTTCTGTTCTCAGTTTTAATGGGGTACACCGTGTACTGGGCACTGACATAGGAGACGTATGACCTACAATAAGGGCTGGAAGTCAGTACTGGAAGGAAGGTACGGGGAGTGGGCAGCCTGGCACCAGGTGCCAGTGAGGTGTCTGCTCTTTGTCCCCACCACCTGTCAGCTAAGGAATTGTGCCTGTCATCAGTGCAATAAAATGTGATCGCCAGAGTGAAAGCCTTGTCACAGACCAGCTGTGGCTTCTCTCAACACCAGTATGTTCAAGGAGGATGCATTTTTAGTGCTTTTGTGGTCTTGATCAAAAAAGAGTCTTGAGCATTGTATAAAATGTATACACAATTAAATAAAAGTATGAAAGTAAAATAGAGTGATTGTAGATTTTTTTTCAGGACACACACGTCTATACACACCTTCAGCAACTGGAATGGTGTGTTTATGAGAGTCCCAGTTAAAGCAACACGGGATGGTCTCATTCTCTTGACCCCATGATCTACCTGCCTCAGCCTCCCAAAGTGCTGGGACTACAGGCGGGAGCCACCACGCCAGGCCAGAGTCAATCTTCTTAGCTAGTGCACTGGGGAGTTTCTGAATCAGGCGGCCCCTGAAACAAAGCCTGACACTGGCAAAATGATTCCTTCCGGGACAGGCGAGGATGGAGAGGAAAGCCGCCTTTATCAAATACTGCTGTGCAATACGCAGAGACCAGGCACCATGTTAAAGGCAAAAACTATCACCGAGCACCAAGACCATCGCTACCTTACACAAAAAATACTTCCTCTGCCCAGCAGCTGCCTTCACCCTTGCGATTTGTTCTTTGCAGCCAAGTAAAATTATTTCAGAACAATTCTGTTTTGAAACGTCGTGTCCTAACAGCCTCCTGCCACAGAGCTGTGGTCATGATTGGCAGATAATATTCACCCTCCAACCTGGTGGAGGTGCTTCCCAAATGAGTGGCTAACCGGGCTCCTCAGTGCCAGGCCATGGGTGGGATTCCAAGCTTTGGGAAAAAAAAAAAAAGTGTCTTACATTTAAGCATGCATAGAAAAAAGTCCGGAAAAATATCCACCGACTATTAGCAAGTGCCGGTCCCCACCCACTCACAGTGGCAGGGGCAGGCTGGTCACAGCGACTTTTCTTTTTTCTTCTGCTTATCTCAATTTTTAAATTTGTTCTACCATGAATATGGATTGTGTGACAGAGACTAAAGGAAGAAAAGGGAGGCGAGGAAACGAGAAATGAAGAAGCAAATGATACTCTAAGGTGCCTCTCAGCAGTCCGGGGCTGGGGTGGTGGTCAGGGTAGCAGGAGGGGCCGAAGGCAGGAGCACAGGGCCCAGTGAGGTGGGCGGGGCCCTTGCAAAGTTGGCTCCTCTTGCGTGTGGGTGTTGGAGGGAGACAGCCCATTGCAGTCCCAGGTTAGGCCCAGGCTGGTTTTAAAGGTCATGATGCATGGGGCTCACGCTTTGTCCTCACAGGACCCTGGGGCACACGGGGTACCCTGCAAGTCAGCCTGAGGAAAAATACTGCCCCAGCTCTGGTTTCCGGAGGGGCCGGGGGGCAAGGCCAAGCAGCTGCATTTTGACACCTCCTCCGGGGCCACACTCATCTGCCAGGTCCTCCTAGGCTGTTTGTTCTTAAAGGCTGCAATCTTTGAGACTAAAAATAACCCTCAGTTTGGCTTCGCTGTTGTCTCTCTGCCCTGGCAACGGAGATGGGGGCGATGCTCCCGGCTGCGGGTGTTTTCAGCCTAGGCTGCACTTTTACCCAGCAGATTCCCTGCACAGCCAGCCACCCTTCATCATGATCCCTCAGCTTAAAAAAAAGAAAGGAAGAAAGAAAGACTGAGAAAGAGGAATTTACAGGAAAGTTACAAAGCCTATTGCTAGTGCAATAGCAAGTCGATGCTTCTAGAATAAAAACGGGGGGATCCTGAACTAAAGTGACAACCCCTTTATCAACTAGGAAGCACCATGCTAAGTAAGCTCTGCTGCAGTGTGAGGTAGGATCCGAAGGGTGCCACAAAGCCAGGCTTACCCCCAAATAGCACCACAATTTTAAACACCCACCATTAGAGTTAATTCCCTTCAAATTCAAAAACGGTGCTCTGTTATAATATCTGGAAGGGTTGGTGCTGGCGATTAGAAGTGAGGCTCTCTTAGGAGGTCAGAAATCATTGCAATTTAAAAATCTTATAAATACAGGGCCTCACTTCCATTCTGATCCTTATTCCTGTGCCTGAGGACCCGCAGGTCGGTGTCATCGTCTCTCCTGGAGGAGAAAACAGCCTCAGCGCCACAATGTTGCAGAAATGCAGCTGTGATTCCAACCCAGTGCTTTTCTCATTATTACCAGTCAGTGATCGGATTAGCTGCTCAGCTCCTCAGGCCCCTGAGGAGGGGAGTAGGGCCAGGTAGGGATGACTGTTGGAAGAGAACCCACCTCAAGGGGTCCATCAGAGGGCGTCCTTACAGGACAAAGACACACCTCACCCTTTCAGTTTTATGGAGGGCCATCTTGCCTCACAGACAATAGGGCAGAAGGTGCTAGAGCTGCGGATCCCACATGGGGGTGGCAAAAAAATCTGTCTGGAGTTCCCACCGCAATTGTTTCCTGATGCTGCCCAGAGCCCTGTGTTGAGCAATGAGGCGTGATGTGTTATTGCCGTCTGCCCTTGGTGCCGGGTTAGGACATGACAAAACGTGTTTTCCAAGTGTTTGCCATCCCTGCCCGGAACCACCTGGTCCCCCACAGTAGGAGTAACGATGACAGTGGCCCTTGGGGTAGGAGGTGGTGAACACACCACAACAAGAGATACTTCTTGCTTCGATAGCAAGACAGCTGCTCGGAAGGGCTGCTGCCTGTAGCTGATGAGGCGGAACCTGAGAGGCTGCTCTCACACCTGGAAAATGAAGTCATGCTCGTCTGATGCCCACTTAGAGGCTAGGAAATGACTGTGGGAAATGCTTTAGCAGTGAGGTGTCCCACGGGTCTAAGGAAGCAGCGTGGACTTTCCAGCCACGTTCCTCTTTGGCCACTGATGTTTTTCAGAGTCAATGTGGAGAGGGAACGGGATGCACAGGATGGGTAGAAGCTGCTCTAAACGTTTAAGCCACAGCAGTGCTTTAGGGCTGCAGGAGGGCTCCACGTGCCCTTCACAGGTGGCTCTCATGGACCCTGAGTGTTTCTGGGAGGCTGGTCAAGAAAGGATTGCTCTTAGGTGGATGGGACAGCTTCCACAGCCACGGAGCTTGGGCCCTTGTGGGGAAATCAAGGGGCTCAACAGCAGTGAGTCTGGCCTCGCCGTGGCCTCTCCTACATACTACGAACTGTCACCCCTGGCTCAGCCCAATTTCCTGCCTTCTGTCTCCCGCAACTTAACAAGATTTCTCTTCCCTGCTTGCTCTCCTAGCACACCTACTCAGGTTTATTCCAAACTTCGCATCCCACAAGTCCCGAACCTCACTTCCCCAACCCTTGAACAGTTCCTTTTTCACAATAACTGTATCTCAGTTCCCTCTTCACAGTAAAGACAAGGCCAGAACCCCCTTGGCTTTATTCTTTGCTCCTAAATATGTATCTACAGGCATCTTCTCTATCCGGCTATTACTGTGGAAAGTTTGTCTCCTCTGTCCCAAGGAGAGCCCCCTATCTGTATCTTCCATCCCATCTACCTGCTGCTCCCTCCTTCCCCAGTACTTTGTCTCTTTCTTCCCCCAGGGACACTTTTTGCTATGAAGAGTGGCCCTGACCAGCCATGCCAGGGCCTGGCAGCAGGGCTATGGAGCCACCTCCCAACACCTCCCTTCCAGTCACTGCCAAATGCAGCGTGTCTCTGGCTTGCTGGGCTGGTTGGTCGGTTTGTTGGTTGGTTGGTTGATTCCTGCAAATACTCGCCACTGTCTAGCCCCTGCCCACTCAGTCTGCCTGTAAACCCCAGCACAAAGGGTTCCTTAACACTGAGCCCTGGGCTCTGGCTGCCCCTGGAGTCTCCTCCCTCCAGCCCACAGATTGCTTACCTGGCTTTTCCCCATGGTTCCCATGCCCTGCATGACCTCAGACACCCAAGTGTTCTCTGAATTCTGAGCATGACTCACTTCAGAATCCAAAGAATCCCAGATCTGTCACTCAAACAGAGGGGTCTCAGGCCATCACAAAGCCTGTTTCCTGTGTCAAGTGCTGATAATAACATGGAGTTATTGTAAAGACAAAATAGGATGATAAATGTAAGGTGCTCAGCACAGTGCTAGCCAATATTAAGTGTTCAATAGATAACGGATATTAGTAATTATCTGGAAGAGCGAATACATCTGCCCATACCTCTGGTTGTGGGCAGTTCAGTGCTTTATTAGGCAACCATTTATTGTTGGACATCACTCTAGTTTTTAGCAAGTTTTCCTTTATTTAACAAAATCTGCCACAGTGCATAGAATGTGCAAGGCACTCTCTTAAGGGCTTTGCAAACTTTCACTGTTTGAATCCTCATGACAACACTATGAGGTTTCCCTGCTTCTGAGAAAATAAGGCACAGAGAGATTAAGTAAGTTGTTCAAGGTCACAGAGTTAATAAGTGGCAGAGCCAGGGATTGAACCCAGGCAGTCTGATGCCAGAACTCTTGTGCTTAATACAATACGCAGCTGCCCATTAGGTTAAGCTTCATTAAAAAGACATACATCCGGCCGGGCGCAGTGGCTCAAGCCTGTATTCCAGCGCTTTGGGAGGCCGAGGTGGGTGGATCACGAAGTCAAGAGATCGAGACCATCCTGATCAACATGGTGAAACCCCATCTCTACTAAAAATACAAAAAATTAGCTGGGCATGGTGGCGCGTGCCTGTAATCCCAGCTACTCAGGAGGCTGAGGCAGAAGAATTGCTTGAACCCAGGAGGCGGAGGTTGCGGTGAGCTGAGATCGCACCATTGCACTCCAGCCTGGGTAACAAGAGCAAAACTCTGTCTCAAAAAAAAAAAAACAAAAAACAAAAACAAAAAACAAACAAACAAACAAAAAAAACACATAAATCCACTCCTGCTCATCCCTGGGCTCTGAAGTAACACAGCAGTCCCCACACTTAGGCAGTGCATCTTATTTATTGTTGCTCTTTGTTCCCTAGTGCAATACTTAACGGAATATCTAGTAGATGCTAGGCAATATTATGCCCTGACGCCCAGTGGTGACCAAGACAGATGTGGTCCCTGCTCTCACATTGCTGCCAGCACTTCACAGTGGCTGATAGTGCCTGGCACATAGTAGGAACTCAACAGAGCTCGGAGGAATAGGGTGGACTCTGTCTTTTACAGAAAAGCCCCTATCCTCGGTGGCTGCAGCAAGTCCTGTCTTCAGGGGTTACAACTGTAACACA